GTCTTCCACTTGTGAACACTTGTGGATTGCATAGTCTTTTCGACTTGCTCCAGTTGGAGATATTTTACCAACACCCGCCTCTACAGATGAGGAGGATTTGTGACAGGCTGGATATGTGTCTTTGAGATTCCTTTTCTATAACCATTCTAGGAGGAAATAACAAAATAAGGTATTTTATTGCAGAGTTTGACCACACAAGACATCTAATCTTCAATTGGATAACACAAATAGGCTGCAAAGCAAAAATGGAAATATAGGCATACAATGACTGATAAAGGGCTGATGTATTGCTTGAATCTGTTTAAATGGTTCTGATAGCTTGACATCCAAGAGTAGGAATGTCATTTAAAGAAAAATGATGTTCCAAAAAAAATAATGCATATGGTTAGGATAAGCTACTCTGCTGCACCATCTCTTAAATGTGCATTGGTGTCTATAAATACATCCCATGCATTGTTTACTGTTTCGGGGAGGACATTTTTTCCAGACTCATGCATGAGCAATTATTTGGGCACAGGCACTCTCCACCAATTTAGATCTAACGTTAGAGCAAAAAAAAAAAATTCAGCAGTTCCCTTCGTCTGCTCGAGGGACAATGACGCCATTTTATATCATGCAATCATGCCTCATATTTAAATATAGGGAGCATATCGCAACCACCGACCAAATAGTTCCTTATCATTTTGCATAAATGTTATTTAAATTGTCCCCCGAACCCGCCCAAACTCACCTATCGCCTTCCTTTAGCCCACTTTCCGATTTAGTTTGAATGTGCGCACGCAGCGCATGCGCGGTGCATTTGGAATCTGATTGGACGCCGGAAAACAACATTTCGTGGCGCGCGAGTCGGGCTGGGTTTGAGAATGAGAGGGGTTTGCATTATGACATCATGCAGAGATGCACTGCAGATTTACAAGACAGTTGCAAAAAAAAAAAATTAAGGCAAATATGAGTGAAAGTATGAACCGAGAGATTATAATGAATTCACAGACAAAATATAACACATGTTTGTTTATAAGCTCAATGTTAAAAATTCAAACAGTTTTAAAAAAAGAATAAATATACAGTACTAGCCTACTACCTGATTAAATGAATACTGGTGAGTTCTGGTGGTTGATTAGCTGATACATTCTGGCAAACAGTCATGCTAAATAGAAATACACTGTTGGGTGTTAAGTTACATTGTGTATGCATTAATATGAATCACATGCATACTTTTATAAAACTTACAAATATTGTAAAAATACTGAAATATTCAATACTATAACAGACGAAATCTGTGTGTGATAAGAATGCTGTATTTTTTAACCAAAAATCAACAACATTTGCAAGCCTAAATGCATCATTAAAATGTCTGTAATAAACAAATGTTAATTAAAACAACATTATCTTCAAATAGGTCTTATTTTCTTCTAATACTTAATCAATGTTTTTCACTTTTTTCTTTCAGGTCAGTCAGTTTGTGCCTCTTGAGATGTCACATCTGCAGTTGTTCTACTGTTTGGTCAGCTGCTGAGAAGGGAGGGAAAAAAAATAATCAAACATTCATAAATGTACATATCTTACCTCACTTAATAACAATAAGTAGACTTGAACAGATCACAACACAAACCTGAAGCTTGTATGTAGATGACCTGCAATATAGACAGATATACAATTAAGAAGCATGGCCAGCTGAGATTATACCTCATAAATATTATCTTATGTATTAGTGCAACAGCGTCAGTGATTCTGTACCTGCTCAGGCTGTGTATATCTCTTCCTCCATATTTTAAAGGCAGCCAGAGCACCAAACACACACAGCAAAAGTAGTACAGCGGGAACCACAATAACAGGATCAGGACCAGGTTCTGCAATCAATCAATCAATCTATATATATATATATATATATATATATATGTGTGTGTGTGTGTGTGTGTCCTATCAATTTAATACCTATACTGATGTCAAGTTTGTTGTCCAGGCCAAGGTGAGTCACAGTACACGTGTAGGTGTGCCTTTCTCTTTGCTCTTTGACACTGAGTTCCACACTCTTCCTCATCTGGTATGTTCCATCAGCATTGGGCAGCAGTTCTCCTCCCGTAATCCTGTCCTCATTAACTGGCTGGTCGTCTTGAAGCAGGGTCAGATTAATGTGACGTGGGTAAAAACCAGTTGCCAGGCAGGTCATTTGAACTACGCCAGTATCACTACAAAAGCGTTTAATCACTCTCACTCTGGGCTTTACTGTCAGGAAAAGAATGAACACATTAAGCTGGAAGCGCATAATTCATGTTTTCCAATCCAAATAAATCCATTAAGACTGCATTTGTGAAAGTTAAATTAACTGCCAGTTACCTCTTGCCATCACATGATTCTTCTCCTTTTTTAGATATTTTCTAAGCTGGCTAATGCACAAAGGGCGGTAAAAGTGGGCATACAGCCATGCATCATACTCCAGCTGTACTCTACTCTTTATGACAGGCCATTTCCAGTGAGTGTGTTGGTCTCCCTGAACGTTATAGCGTCGTTCAAAGCCACTCTCACCATTAAAGGCCTCCAGAGTCATCATTTGGCCGGGCTCGTCGTTGAGAAGTTCACATCCAACCAGTCTCTGCTGCACATGTAGGCCTTGGAAAGAAATAGTCTCAGATGCACTAAGAAAGGATTGAATTCACAATTCTGGCAACGCTTGTTATGACATTAACAAAAAGTTCAGAGTAAAAAAGCTTTAATTTTGCTGACGACACTATATTTACTAATAGAACAATAAGATTATCAACCAATCAAATTTTTTTAATATATCTTATGCTAACAAAGGCTGAATTGATATAATCAAAAATACAGCTAAAAACAGTAATACTTAGAGAAATTATTACAATTTAAGATACATTTTATATATATATATAAAACCACTGTTGAAAAAGGTTGTACTGCTTAATATTTTTTGTGGAAACCGTGATACAGTTTGTCAGGATTCTACCACATTATTTGACCACTTCCACCTTAAATTTGTTTAATACAATTAAGAGACAATAAAAGAAGGGCTATTAATTAGGCTAAAATCCTACTGGCTTCAAACTTTTGAACGGTTGTGTATGACCACAATGAACAGATCTTAATGAAAATACTTATTTTACCAAGCACTCTCAAGAGAATGGAAAACAAGACTACTAGAGAATAATTACCTCTTGTATAATTTAAGTAATCAATTAAGTGGTATGCTTTGGTTTTCATGCCCTCGTGTATGCCTTTACAGACTGTTGATATAGTCATTTGCTCCGTGACATTAACAGAATCTTCCGCTGATGTAGGGACAAAACTTCTCTCATCTGCGTTATAGTGGCCGATGACAATATCATCCAGCATAATAACTGCAGTAAACTCTGGGAACGGGATTAAACTGTCTCCAGTCAAAAATGTAGCAAAGACCCATAGCGAATGTGACCCTGTGAGAGAGTAGAGTTAGTGGTAACATTTTATTTTACAGCGTCCTTGTTACATTTGTTACGTGTACTTACCATAGTAACAACAGTAAATTGTGTATAATTGCATGCAACTAACCCTCAACTAAATCATAATCCTACCCTAACCCTAAGTAGATTTAGTTGCTTAATATTACTCAGTACTTAAATATATAATTAAGCTGTAACAATGACACCTTAAAATAAAGTGTAACCGAGTTAGAGTTCCTATTTGATCAGAGATTTTGGTTACACTTTAAGGTTAGCTTGTTACAGTGCAAATAATACATTTAAGTACTGAGTAGGCTAATAATAATTAATTACAAGTAGGCCTATTTGCTAAAGGGTTAGTTTGGTTTAGGGTTAGTTTTAATTATGCCATAATTTGTAGCTACTTTAGTAACTGCATGTAACGTGTAACAAGGACAATGTCAAAAAAAATTGAAGTTCAGAGTTCATGGCATACAAATTATAAGCTTCAGATGATACTTATTTGACAATATAAGGAACTAGAAAACGTGCTTCAAGTGTGCTGTAAAACTGTACGAGTGATCTTGCTTACCCGATTCAGAAAACACAGGAGCTGACAGTACACACGCTGCAAAGATGAAATAAAACATGCTTTTTATAAGGTGTTAAAAAGGTTAAATATTTCCTTGTTACAAAATTAGAATAATTAGACATAGTATCTAAGTTTCGGTCTGACTCTAAAGGAAATATTCGGTTAAATCTATGCTATAATTCAGCACCGTCCCGCACTGATACTTCCTCATTGTTGTTGTGCATGAGGTTAGTTCATTCACTGGAGGTGTGGTTTCAACACACTAAAATAAAAAAAAAAAAAATTGGCCACTAGGGGACGCAAAGCAAGTGCCTCGAAACTGAATGTGGAACCTTGGAAGGTAGACTTAAAATAATATAGTTAAAATTTATAATAGAATAAACTTAAATAATATGGTTAAAAAGGAGACAGTTAACAGTGCATTAACTGTCTAGAATTGCGGTGTTGTCTTTTACTGTTGTAACATTTTTTAGGAGAGGTTGCTTCTCGATTGCAGTCAATTTAGTCATTTTTGGATCAATTGTTGGTTTTACATGGGTTTGGTGCTTAGAGTACTTTTACCGTGTTAGCTATAGCTGGTCAGGATGAGAGACAATGTTGCTGATTACTCACTTGGCCAGTTTGGGGGAACAGGCTGAGGCAAGCCATTTTTGTCTGGTTTGATTGATTGTTTTATTTTACATTTATTCATTTAGCAGACACTTTTATCCAAAGTAACTTACAGATGAGGAATACAACAATTGAAAAATGCAGGACATACAAAGTTTCAGATATCATTTGGAATTATACACTGTAAAAACATATTGTTGGTTTAACTTAAAAAAAATAAGTAACCTGATTGCCTTAAAATTTTAAGTTCATTGAAATGGAAAAATTGAGTTAATACAATGAAGGAGATTGATTTAATCATCAGAAACTCACAATATTATGTCATCTGAACTGCATAAATTATCTGAGTTGATATTACAGAAGAAAAAAAGTTATGATAACCAATCATGATTTTTTTTTTTTTTTTTTTTTTTTACAGTGAGTGAACTAAAATGTTCTGGAAAGTGATTTTGTGCCTCTCGGTGCAGTGCAAACCATGACTGTGTTGTCCTGCAATGTGGTATTTTAAGGTGAACTAGGGATCAAAGATTACCCCAAAAATTATTGCACTTGATGGGATTATTGTTGATGAACCTAGCTGGCTGGTGAAATTATGCTTTATAAACAGAGTGTCATGGAAGATGAAAAGATCTGTCTGTGCGAGGTTGAGCTGTAGGTGATTTATCCATGCCAAGATTTCTGCCAGGCAGCCTAAGATCCGTGCAGCTACCGTTGGGTCATCTGAAAAGTAGAGTTGAGTGTCATCAGCATAGAACTGGTTGGATAAACCATGTGCATGTACTTGTATAATGGGTCCCGGTGATGTAGTGCATATAGAGAAGAGGAGAGGTCCAAGGACTAACCCCTGAGGAACCCCCAAAACCAGTTGATGTGCTTCTGATACCTCCACCAAGGCCACTTTGAAAGACAAACCTGTGAGGTAACATGCAAACCACCAAAGTGTGATCCCCTTGTAATGACCAGACTGATAAGAGGGTGAACTAGGAATTGTAGACTTTATGGGAATAAATGGAAATTATGTCTATAATGTGAATACAGTATGAACTGGGAGTTTGAGATCTTGATGACAACATAGAACTGTAATTATTATTATTCTCCACTAGATCGCACTCTTTGCCAGGTTAATGCTATTGTCATTCACAATAGGACTACAGAACTACATCAAGTTCAGCACTGAACCTCACATATACTCAAGTAGGACTCTTTAATATTGTGTAAACAGCAAGATTATGATTCATTAGTGTAAAGATTTGTAAAAAAAAATTGATAAACAAGGTGTTTTTGCTTTATAGGACAATGTTTTTTTGTAACTAACTTCCCACAGGGTAATTAAGTAGTGGATAAGAAATCCCCGGAATAACAGCTACCAATTTATCATGATAAGACTTATCAATATTATAAAGGTGTATGCAAAACATTAAATGTCAGGGCCATGTGAGTTGATATATCTGACCTTTTTGAACTACACAGAATATTATGATAATAATATTTATAGAATACTATTCAGAATTTGATTTCTAAATGTTTGATTTATACAAAAATTAATCTCGTATGTTCTCACTCTCTACTCCTTTTCCAGCTTTACAGCACACATCAAAACCAGTTTCCACGTCCTTCAGTTACTGGATTTTTTTTATGACTTTTTAAATGTAGTTTTTAACCCTTTGTTGTTGTATACACAGTAAATAAAGCTAGCTTAAATAGTAGAGCCTCTTAAATATGATGAACAAGACCACAATTATCATCATTTATAGGCCTACGTTTAACCAGTCATAAATTACCGAGACCACATTATGTCGAACAAATGAGGAAAATCATGCAGCTGAGCAACTATTGAGTTGTAAAGAAAGGCAACAGGTAAATTCATAGTAGTATGTCAAGTCAAATTTTACAATTCAACATGTGATTCAATAGCTACTTGTTGACAATAGCATGCCCACGAGTATGCCTAATAAAAAAATATTTGGGGAAAAATGTTCTAGCCTTATTTTAAAAAGTCAAATTATGTCTATAAGCCTACTATACCGTATCGTGTCTGTATGAATGCACGTTCAAGATTGTTTACCTCAGACCGCTGCTGAGATGTTCACATGAATGACCCTGACCATAGACCCTGACCCAGGCTACTCACTTTCCAAGAAAACAGAGCGCCGGTGTTCCCACTTTACTGTTCCACTTAGTCGTAACATCCCCCCACACGTGGACCAGCCTGGTGACCGCGCGCATCCGCAGCAGTACATTCGGTGACGACACACCCCATCACGCTCCTGTGCGTGCAGCGCTCAGCGCTGTCCTAATTGCGGGACAACTCACATGGCACACGGGGACACTGCGACTGCAACGAGCAGAAAAACAGGGAAGCATGTCTCTATGCGCATCGATGCATTGAAGATGTTTCGAATATCGTTTTTTAGACATTTGCTGGTGGATTGAACGGTCCAGCGCGAGCGTTTCCATCGTAAAGCCCGGGCACATGCAAGAGAAGACTGGCGAAACTAATTATTTACCAGTCGTTTGTTTTTTAGTTAAGAGATAAGTTACTGTTTGAAGACGTTCCTGTGGCAATTTAACTACTAAAAGCCGTTTAAAGTAGGACTTTTAAAAATGATGTTTTCGTAAATGAAAATTCAGAACCGAAAATCTTAAAATGAGCCTCGTGAGAAAAGGATTAACGAACACCGGATCATTCTAAGTGAAGCCATTATTTAGGAATATGTGATTAAAGTAGCAAGCAACTGTGGGAAAGAAAGCAGTCGCTGGAGCTTTATTGAGTCACGCGGACAGTAGGTTAGGAGGCGGCTCAAAGTGACCTACATTCATAAAGCTTAGTCTTCGCGTTTTGAAACTTGATTGTAATGATGATATAGCCATGTTATATATAAAACATTTGTTTCCAGTGATTGTCTTTATTGTTATACTTTTATGAATTTATAAAAGAACATAATTCATATAGGCTATTTATCTCGTTTAAGCAGGAAAACAATTTGGGCCAAACCCCAAAAAGCTTTTGTCTTAACCACAAATCATTGGTCAGAAATTTTGTCGAATTCAAGACATAATAAAGCCATTGTGGTCTCAGAAAAACATCAAAGACAGAATACATTTTCCGGAGATTATGGGAAGTTGTGTGGGAAAATCATAGGATTTTTTCCAGACCAAAAATAAATAAAAATATAAAATCTCTCGACTCGGGGGGATATGAGGGTAGAAAGCATGATAATTCGAAAATACTACAGGTTTTCTACTAATACAAATGTTAATGCTAAATCCTGAAGTATCCCTTTAATGCTTTGGTTGCATTCCCACAAATGAAATGAGTTGTTTTTTTGCACTTTGGGCATGTGTGAAAGTGAAGCCATTATTTAGGGAGCATTGACTTGACTTGTTGAAAAATGTCATCTGATAGATAAGCTCATGTTTTGGCCTGGCTGGTCAAAGTCCAGATTTGAACCAGATAGTGAATAGTCTCACATTAAACTCAAACGAACTTGGGAAGCATTTTTCAGTTACTCATTAACTGTTTGAAGCAATTAACATTGACTAAAACAACAACTCTTCTTCCTGTAAAAATCTATCTGCAAGTTGGGGAAGGCTATTCTGCACCAAGTTAGCATACTTTATCTACAGTAACCTATAGCTATTTATGCTAATTATTTATGTGATTAATGCTAATTTCCTAATTTGTGATTAAACTGGTTAAGACCATTAAAAGACCGATAAATATTTTGGCATGGCCTACTTTTTTCCCCCAGGAGTGTGTGCTTATAATGGCAGAAGTTTACATAAAGGCCTTTTTCCAGGTTGATGCTGAGAAGCGCACGAGCAGCCCACTGTTGCCATGGTTACCTCCTCATTTGGACCCTTTGGCTATATATGGCTAGTGTCTGTTTATTTTACCACGTGAATAATAAGCGAATGTTTGTGATTATAGAAAGGAAAGGATTATAACCCCTGTTAAAATCTACTTATCTGTAATTATATGAAACATTCATTTTAAGAAAACCAGCTCCGTGTCAATAATTCCTTGGCTATTGATTAAAACAGCTCTGAATGAATTGGTTGTGGCTGATTCGTGTTTGTGTTATCCGGGTTTGCTCACTCTAAAAACATGCATCCCTATTTTACCAACAAAGACAGTCTTGGCTCTGCTGCCGCCTTTGGTGTGCCCAGATGATGGAGGGAAAGTGCAATGTTGAGAGGCTAATATGAGTGTGACTTCCTCACGTGGTCGAGCACAAGCGCAGTTGCGCCAGTCAGACAACACAGAGAGGACGAATAGGCACAAGGATAAAACTACAATTCAGATTATGAGTCAAATGATGATTATCATGCTGCACGTTGTAAATCGTCATTGCTAAAAATATGCACGGCTGACAAGGTGTGGTGCTTTCTGGAGAGTCGAGATTTTTAAGGTTTTTGACGGGTCACCTTAAAATCGAACAGGCTAATAACATAAATAATTTTCTTATTGCGGAAATATTATTTCTTTATTTATTTTTAATCGGAAATAAATACAATATTTAATAAATATTAACGAAAGTTACTGCAATAGTTTTTGGCAGGCCTATTCAGCACCCACATCACTGGTCGGAATATAGCCTACAGACCAGTGTAGTATGTGAGTTGTGGGCAGGGTACGGAGTGAGATTGCATGTGAACTCAGAGACTTGTCAAACTTAATAGTGCCGTAGCTGTGAAACGCGGGAGTCTGCGTGTGCAGCTTAGTCCACTCATGCGATTAAGTGTGCGCCCCGGTCTCATGGTGTTTGATGCAGGTAACGTGGTGGGCAAACGTGACGAAAACTTTCATCTCGTCTTTGCACTGGCGCTGTTATTATCCCATCTTCGTGACATATACACAACCAGCAACCACCAAACATATTCAGAAAATTGCCATAAAGATATGGTCCAAAAATAGAAAAGGCGTGGTCAGTTCAATACATCAGGCAACTCTTGGTGCAAACAGATCTTCGCCACACCAATGAATCCTGTTATGTTTACCACTCGCCGCATTGTTTGTCACGTGCAGTGTCACGCAGTGTTGTTATACTGTTGAGAATGATTAATCATGCCTGCAATAAGGCGCTCGAGAGATTCACGTGAATGCAACAAGTGGCTCGTGCAGTGCCACAAGCTAAGTGATGTTACGGATGGATGCGATTCAGCTTATTGCGGCGAGATGGTCTATTTAAGTAGCACGATTTTATTCTAAGACACGTGCCTGGCGGAGCCCCCAAAAGAGGATAATGGCCTTCCAAAAGCTGGTCAGTTTTTCTCCGGGGAGACGCTATCTGGGACACAGTGAGAACTGAGTTTGGAGGTGAATCGTTGTTTTTGAAAATAAAATTAAAATAGCCCCAAAAGCCGAAAAAGCGCAGGAAGTGCCAAAATAACTTCTAAACACGACTTTAGACATTTTGATCGATCGTGCATTGTAAACCTGGTGAGCACAAGTTACTAAAGTGAAATATGGACAAACTCAGCAATTGGGTTAGGCTACATTTTTTAATTACATTTTTTTAACCCAACGTTTGGGTTTGTCCATATTTGACCCAAAGTTGGGTTAAAACAACCCAGCATTTTTAATAATTAGGCTAAAGAGGCTGTGTGTGTGTGTGTGTGTGTGTGTGTGTGTGTGTGTGAGAGAGAGAGAGAGAGAGAGAGAGAGAGAGAGAGAGAGAGAGAGAGAGAGAGAGAGAGAGTATTTTACCTACAACTCAATGGTTTAAACCATAAATGTCCGTATGTGTCCATATGAATTGGTGGTAGCACATTTAATTAAATCATATGGTTAATTTAATGTTATTCCAGCGTGAAAATTCTGAAAATAAATACATTTGGCATGATAATATAGGTCCATTTTCTGATATGTGTGCAGAGGAAAAAAGTACTAAGAAAAATCCAGTCCCCTGCACATAACCAGATCCTAGGGCCCTCCTCATCTGAGACATTTTTCCACTTTCTTCTTCTGTAATTACAGTGATGTCCCGGATATACTGTTTATTCACTCTAGAGTCTTTGCTAATATGGAATATATAGCAATCAAAATACTTTTCAACAATCAATATAGGCTACTTATAACTCAAAATAATTGTTTGCATAGAAACATAGAGGAATTTTCTTATGCCAAATATTAAGATAACAGCATGAGACGTTTGAAAAAGTTAGAAATGTAGTCGAGTAATACTTTGTCAGAGTATTTTTTTGGGAAACTTTTACTTTACTTCATTCCAAAGCACTGCATTATATCCTCGTTATTTCAAAATGAAGGAATCACCAGCCCTTTTGAGAAGCAAGTGAATGCCTTGGTTCTATTCTGGTTGGTTCACAAATCACACTGAACTATTCATTTGACATGTCTGGAATTGAATGTCTACTAAGTTTAATAGAAAGTTTACCTATTTGAAGATCAATCCAAATTAAATGTCTGCACTAATATTTCTTAGTGTTGTTGACTAGTGCTGGCTAAATAAATGATAAACATTGTTAATCGATCAGTACTTTTAATACTTATACTCTTACTGGAGTAATAATATCTGCATTTCATCCAACACCGACGTTTTGTCATGAAATATTGCATTGTTTGAGTAGTGGGAGCAAAGATTTTTCCTCTATAGAGACTGAAACATAAAAAAAAAAAAAAAAAAACTTCCAAGAAGTCTATAGCCTATCCCTTTAACTGAAAACTTCTCCTTATACAAAAAACACTTTCACGCGTAAAACGCAAGCAGTCACAGTAATACAAACAATTCCTCTTGACATCAGTCGATTTCAAACTCTTTAACTTGCGGCAGCACGTGCGTGGGGAGTTTTAAAATTCGTACAGAAATGTGTTCTGGAGAAAGTGTGTCACTGGGCCACGAGGTTTTCGCTGAGGTCACATGTACACATTTCGAGCCTCGTGCAGCGGCGGTGAAGTGGGTGCGCCTGCGCTCGTCTCATCCAAGGATGCTCCTTAACGAAGCAGTCTGAGCAAAACCGGGCAGACTTGACGGAACAGTTCAGAACGACACAGATTGGGCAAGTGACAGGACAGGCGCACTGGCTTGTGATACATTTTCATTGAATGATCCACATTTCACTGACGTCTTTGCGCAGCCTTGAACATATTTCATGAGCTTATAGCAGACGCGCACCTATGCGATTTAAGGAGAGCCATTATTGGCAGTTATGACTTTATCGTAAAGAAAAACAGAAGTGAATCTAAAGAGAGTGCATCTCCACTCTGGGTGTTGCATTGGAAATTGTCAAACACTTGCATGACTTTACTGGACCTCAACATGACGACAGCAGTAGACACAAACAACACAGGTAAGAGTCTCTTGATGCTTTAAGAATCAGTCTGGCTGGCTCAGCGATTTGTTTAAACTTTCTGCTTAATCATTATCAACTTGCATGTTCATAAATGTGTTGCATTATGACTGTTGGGCAAATGGTCCACAAACTAAATATAGGCTATAGCCTAATTATTGCTTGGTGCGGTGAAACGTCACAGCTAGCCTATATATAGGGATAGGGTATAATTTTTCCTAATGCCGGATTTGACAGTTAATCGACGTATCAGGGCTTGCCGAATTATCGTTTTTATATTGTATTCTTCTGAAACAAATAATCACAAAGATGGTTAATGACTTAACAAATATTTCGAATGTGTAGATAGTTCATTATTTCTTGATAAAAGTGCCTTCATGTGTGAAACGAGTGTTAACAGTAGGTATGCGTAAT